TGCCGCCCCCGCCCGGGCCCTGCTGCCCCCGGCAGGGTCTTCCCGCCTGTGCCCTTGCCCTTTTTATTTTTATTAAAGCAGAAGCTTTGACTTTCAGTCATACTTGGAAAGAGAGGGAAGTTCCACACGAGATAACCGAAAATAAAATCGCCACTCTGAGCACTTCAGAGCAAACCTGTGCCACCGGTTTTCCCTCCTTCAATGCTGTGATTTTCAATTACTCTGTGTCCTTGGGAAGTTTTGGGCAGGTTTTATGGTAATGAGCCATGCGAGGCAGGCGGCTGCTTTCGGAAACAGTTTTCTCCATCTTGTCTGCTTCAGAACGCAGGGAGGAGGCAGCTGGAGACACAGTCTAACATAATGAGAAACAGAGGGGATGAGACGCATCAGTCCAAGCACCTTGACAATACAGGGCTGACGTGTTTGCTGTAGTAAGTACAAGCCAGCATAAGGGGCATACTCCAAATAACTTACAATAAAAACGTATACTTTCAGTATGAGGAAACATACAGTGAGTATGTATGGTAGCAACAAGTTGTACTTTTGGTTTAGCTTTTTCATCAGTAAAGACATACTAAATTGAAAAATAGTGAACATCCTCCAGTACCAGTTTCTCTGACTACGACTATTCTGATGTGCTCCTGTTGGAAAATCTTTCCTACAGGGTCCACACCGGTACTTTAGGTTGCCCATTTTGTTGTCTAGGTTTCTGCTGCAAGATCAATTTATGTTATGTCTGAAGAAAAAAGCTGTTAAAATGTAAAGTTTATTCATTTACTATTCTACCTGGTAGCTGGTGTCACTAATACTAGTATGTCCACCCTTCTACTTCCTCATACTCATCTATCCAGCACTGTATTAACACTTCTCATCTGTTTTTTTTCCTCCAGAAGTAGAGGCTGCACAAATTACTTTCCTTTTTCTCTCTGGTTCAGTTAGATTAAGAGCTCTTTGTGCTCAGACTACTGCCAGGACACAGTATCACTAGGAGGAATCTGTGAATGCTTCCAGTAGGACAATAGTCCAGTCCTTAAAACAATTTAAGACACATAGTGATTTTCACCATTTAGTCATACCTTTGATTTCCTTTTCCTGGGACTAACATTCCAGTGAATTCCCCAAACTTCTGTGTTATCTCAGGACACATTTTTCAGTAAGAACCTAGTGTATCATTAGTCCAACACCGCTGGTTGCCGAACACTGAGAGCAACCCTATTGCTACCACAATATCCTTATTAACCAGAAGGAATGAGGAATTCCTCTGCCAGACCCTTGCTAAATCCAGTACTTCCTCTTCTACTTGGGACAGTCTCATTTCATTTGCTCTGACATTTCTTTTTGCTTCACTTCCTCCTAGCTCTGTAACAATCACACCTCTCAGTTTCCTTTACTATCATTTCTGACTACTTGCAGCGCCTATACCTTGTATTCTCCCATTTACATTGATAAATACAATCTGAAAAACTCCTTTCCCTGGGTAACTCTGAGGTCCTTCTTCCAATTCCGAGTACCCCTTCCAGCAACCTTTCCACTAGAATAGCAGATTTCTGCTTCCAGCTGTATGTGTGTTTGAGTAATTTTCTAAGTTCTACCCGATACAATTCTAATGACGAATATGTTCTTGAAAGGAAAAACAGATGCTGTAACATCAGTCTGCTTCAACTATCAGCATTCACTTCAGATGCATTTAAGATTCACAGTGGATTGTGGGTCAATGACATCTGCAATGCGCTGCCCAATAAATAATTACTGTGGGCCACAGCCTGCTCCTCTGGTGCTTCCTTTTTCCCCAGTGTTTCTCAGAGTAGTTGGCAGTAGGCCACTTCCAGGTTCATGATGTTGCAATGCTTGTGTATCAGGTTACTTACATTTCTAGGGAGGGACATGTAATGTGGTACCTGCAAACAGAACTTCTCAATGACTCCTAATCTCCAGTCCTAGACCAAACTAAGGAGCTCTGGGGCAAAACAAATTGCATTTTTTTCTGATGGCATTTTCATCTAAGAATTCCTCAGTCTGGCCAGTAGCATTTCCCAACAATAACTTTTATTTCTAGCTTTTGGCCTTCTCCCTGCAAATTTAGCACTTCTGTCAGACCTCCTGGCATGCACAATGCATCTTTTGCAACAATACAGGAACTTAAAATACAGCTTTTACTCACTGTGAAAAAGGCAGCACAGCCCTCTTTTTTACGGAAATTGAGTCCCAGAGCAGATGGACATACATGGCAATTCAAAAGCCTGCAAGCTATGTACACATTTTGTTTCATCTGCTTGACCATTTTTGCTGTTGGTAAAAAGCCAGCCACACACTATTGCCTTCCTGGCTCTCTTTGACTAAGGGGGCATCTATTTTTGAGAACAATCAGATCATATACAGAATTCCCTGGAAAAGCCAACTATTCTCTCTCAAGCCCACTAAATAACTTTCTCTCTGGTCTATTTCATTATAGTCAGTCTCTCAGGGTTCAAGCTATATGGTAAATGGCCTACCATTGGTATTGGTACTTCATAAACTTCTTCTTGGAGCCAATTCCTTAATCCAAGCCAAATATTCACAAGTGGTAACAGTAAGATTTTATAACTGGGTTATTGATGTGTGAGGAATTTTTAATGTAATTCTCGAGTTTGTTACAAAACTAAAATAAAAAAGTCAGTTGTGATAAATACAGGGTTTTTTATGAAAATGTTTTAATGCAGTCTCACTTCCAATGCGTTGACATCCCCAGCAATTTCTTACTTTGAAATAATGTGTAGTTAATAGAAAGCAACAGGAAATAAAGGTAACTTTCAGTCATTCAAAGGTTGGACCAGATGATCCTTAAGGTCCCTTCCACCATGACATTCTATGATTCTATTATTCTTGCCCTGTAGTAAATGAAAGAGTAAATTCAAAGTTTTTTACTAGAACTAGAAATAAACTCTGTGAAAACTTTAGAATGAATCTATTTAACTTGATACTAGTAAAGAGGTCAAACATTTCATTAGTGTAAGTGACCATCTGATTATACAACTGTGGAAAAAGCAGTTATTCAGACTGAGGTAGTTCCTATGGAGATGTTACTGAAAAGCGTTTTGGTAATCAGAACAGACACAGGTAACCATATTTTATGAGATACCAGGAAAGCATATTATACTGTGATCTTAAAAAAAAAGTCTCATTTTATTAAACACTTTGAAGTTCATGCCATAAAGAAACAAGCAAATTTGCAAAATCAGTTTTTTTTCCTCTTGTAAAATGAGCTGCCAGCTAACACAAAAGAGCCATCCTCTTTTCTTATGAAGAACCTCCATTTTCATTTGCAATAGGGTTCTTGAGACTTGTCCATACTTTTTCCAGCATATGGATTATGCCACTTACCAACTTGAACAGTGGTCTGTTTTGAACATTGTTTTTTGAAGCCTGAATATTCTGGCCTGGTCCTCACCTGATGAAGTGTAGAATGGCTCCACAGACTTCCTACTCAGGATCTGGCAGGATACATTTTCAGTTATTTCTTCTTGTTCATATTTATTAATGGTTCAATGTGTTAAGCATATTTCACTTTACTTATGTTCTCTTTTGCCCGTAATGTCTTCTCCCCTGTCTCTTAAGTTCAGGTTCCATTCACTAACCTTGTAAGAGTCAGTGGGTCAGTTTCTTCTCTATTAAATAATTATCTCACTATTCAATCACATGTAGTTTTAGAGTAAACTTACTATTTATTACTTAAAAATGACTTTTGATGCTTAATTATAGCTCTCCAGGGATCCTTTAAAAATAATGTAATAAAAACATAAGCAAAACCCCTTAAACAAAAAATAATTATAAAACATTTTACTCTTGTTTTCAACATGACCTTGTCATGAAAGATGCAGAAGAAAATTGACCAGCTGGTTGTCACTTGCAGTATCTATCTGCTTTCACTTTTGCTCTCCTGTATGGGAAGAGTAATGAAAAAAAATTTAGATTAAGACAAAACACACAAATGCAGTAATATCTGGTCTGTCTCAAAGCATTAAGGAAACATTGAAAGCAATTTTTCTTAAGTTCTACTTCAAAGTAAAAATATATATAAAAGCAAACAGTATTTTGGATTTGTTAATTAACTGTTTTCTTAAGGAGCCAGAACTTCAATGACTTAAGTTAACTTTGTCTTTCCCTTCAAATCAACCCATATTGTGTATTGGTCACTCTGAGGAATGCAATTCAGATTCAATGTGATTTGAAGCTGACACTCAACCTGTGATGGCCCAGGAATGTTCTCACCTCATTGACTTAATGCAAATATTTACCCATACAAAATATTTGACATATTCAATACAGTTTTCTACTAGTCTCAACTTGGGGGAAAAAAAAAATTATCCCCACTAGATAAAATGAAAAATGTTCTGAAAAAATGCTGTTTCTCTTCAAAATGCCACTTTCTTCTCTCCAAAAAGCTCCAGTGCCTTGGTATTGAGAATGATAAAATTAGCTTCATTTTTCTGATTAAGAAGATGCATTCCTCAACTACTCTGTACTAAACAAACTGAACAACCTAGTTTAAGATTTCTAAAATAATTAATTTCTGGGCAAGTGCAAATCTGCAAACTTCAGCTAAAGAAGCGAAATGTCAGAACAACAAAAAGTAAGCCCCAGAACTTGGGCAGAACACACCAGAAAGGAACTGCTGAACACCCCACCCCCTGAAACGTAGCTCTCTTGCATTCAAGGTTTACTGTAATTCCATCTCCTAGTACTTTTTAAATCAGTATATGATTTTTTGAAGTACCTGTCCAGAAGCATTTCATGAAAAGTGCCTTCTTTCCTGGCTTTTCTGAGGGCTTTTGTGTCTTCTTTGCTTATTTTAAGCTTTTTGTCTTGAAAACTTTGAAATTTCTTTCTGCAAGGGGGAGAAGGGAAATGTAAAAAGTGTAACTTCTTTAAAGTTTTGTGTTTCAGTAAAACAATAGCTGTGATAAGTATCTTAACTTCTGCTATGCAGTAGACAACTGGCCTAATAAAATCTAGCAAACCAAGTATCAAGTTCTGAAGAGTTCCTTCTTCAACTATTAGTGTGACAATTCAAGGAATGAAAGTGTATTGGATGTAGGTGACAAAGGGCTGGTAATGGGGGAGCTGCAGCTGTGGCCTCTGTGAGAAGAGGCCAGGGGCTGCCCCATGCTGGACATAGCTGGCTCCACAACAGATCCCACTGCAGGACACAGCTGAGTAGTGGCACCTCTGTGAAAACATGTTTAAGAAAGGGCAAAATGCCACGCAGGCAGATGAGAAAAAAAATATGCAAAATGGCAGTGTGAACATCAAGGGCAGAGAAGGAGAGAAGAGGTGCTTCAGGCCCTCAAGCAGATGTTCCCCTCTAGCCTGTGGAGAAGACCGTGCCAGAGCAGGGGAAAAGTGAGAGCAGAAGGGAGTGGCAGAGAGAAAGCACTATGTACAGACCCATACCTCCATCCTGCTTAGGGGAGCAGGTAGAGGAGTCTGGAATGAAGTTGAGCTTGGGGGAAGGCAAGGTGTTGGGATTTTTTTGGTCTTTGTTTGTCACAACCCAGATTACTTTAATGGGCAATGGTTTTAATTAATTTTCCATAAGTTGAGTCTGTTTTGCCCATAACAGTAACTGGTGCACAGTCTCCCAGCCTTTATTTGAACCCATGAGCTTTCTCATGCTATTTGCTTTCGTTGTCCTAATGAAGGGAAAGTGAGTGAAAGGTTGGGTGGAAGTTTGGCCCTTCCACCAAAGGCAGCTCCAAAGAGAAGTGAAAAAAGGTACTTGAGCCTGTTAACAGCTCTAAACTACATACACATAATTAATTTCACACTGTTTAACATTTCCTTTGTCTTCTTGTGGAACATCATCTTTCTTCTTAGTTTCTCTTTCAGCACAAGTACGAATCTATAGTTATCGAGAGAAAAAAAATGACAAAGCAAATCAGAAAATGCCTGTTAAAGAAAACCAACACAAATTGCAGGTTAAGGACAACAATACATCACAAAATGACAACCATGGTGACTTTTTAAGTTCACAGCTTGCAAATTGGTTAATTCAGAACTGGAGACAACTGCAGTACAAGCAAGCACTGCCTGAAGTGTGGGGAATATTAAGTCTAATCTTTGATACTATTGTAAGACATAATCGCCTTCATCTCAAAGAAGCGCCATTACAGTTCATAGCTTTAGTAGGGATAAAATGTCTTTTTTAGAGATTATTTTAAAACTGTTATTGTTCTGTCTAGCAGACACCCACTGCTATTCGGCAGCACACATATTTTCCCAATCCAGATGAAGTCAAGGTAGTCTTTTTACATTCTCTTACTTAAAAGATCTCCCCTTCTGCATCACTCTGGTAAATGCTTTTCTGTCCCTTTTTCAATCACAATCTCTCCCATACCAAGCTGTTCAGAGTTACCTGAAATACCACACAGGCAGTCTGGCCCCCTAATGTCTTACCCTTCAGTGGTGGTAACACCTTCCTATCTCTACTGGAGGTGTATCAGTTTATCAAGTCCTGGCACTTATCTGTCTTTCTTGTGGCCACATCACTTGGCAGCTTATAAAAAACAATTTTAACGGTATTAACAGTAAATTGTAGTACACAAATCTGGTTGATTGAATATCCATGCCAATAGTGTATCAACTGTGGAAATTTTAGATTACCTTAATCATTTCTTCTTCCCCTGCAGTTTTGCTTTTGGCTTCTATGTCTCCCTCTTCATTACATCTAATAAAACGGCTATTTGCTGCTAGTAATGCCATTTTCTTCTGCAGAAATAATACCATATATTGTTATTATAACGAGGTTGTATATAACACTTGATTCAAAACATTTATCCTCTACAATACACCAGAAAACCCTGTAAATGTGTTTTACTCTTTTATACAGACACTTCAATAGCTACTCAGCAGACTTGCTGACTACTTCATTCTTAAGAAGCTTATACCTGCCAAAATGCAGTAACTTGAAGTATCTTAAGAACTTCCAGTGACAGTAAATGCATTGCAGTTGGGAAAGCAGACTAAAAGTTACAATATGGAAGAGACTGAAAAAAGGTTTTTACTGCACAAAGAACATCTATACAGATTAACTCAAAATACTGTTAAATGCTATGAACATCAAATGAATCGTGCCAATCAGCTTACATCTTGGAAGACAGGTTCCCATTGCTCTCTTGATCCAATTGCATCTGAACGTCCAACAACAAGTCCATCTGAATTTATACCAAGGTATTTGCCATAACCTGACTTTAGAGCAATCCTCAAAGAGAAAATGCAGGAAAACAATAAAGAACATTTTTAATGCAAACAATTTGCAATATCCAACACATCACAAAAGCAGTATTGATAGGCAGCAGATTTCAAGAGGATATTAAAACACATATTCACACCAGAAACAAAGATAACAAGTATCAAAACTTGTAACATGTTGTTACAGTCATTACCTTGTATCAGACAACTTTACTGCTGTAAACTGTTCAGGAGGACTAGGGCCTTCATCATCTGAGGAATTAATTTTCCATAAATTAGGTAAGAAGTATTAAACATGCAATATTTTAAGTTGTTAATACTGCAGTTTCAAAAAGAATTACACAGCCCAGTGGCCACTGCAAAATACTATGGAAAGCTGCAATACTTAATTTCTTAAAAAATTCCTTTTTTGAATATTCACTTCTACAAAGGCAATGCATGTGCTCATTTATGTTTGTGTATTTAGAGTGCTTAAAAAACTAGACACAAAATAAAGTCCATCTTTATATAAAGAAATTTACAGTTGAGAATGTTCTGTAATTTGCCAGGTGTCTTTGAAAACCTTAATCTCCTTGTAATACTGTTTTTTCAATATGAAAATATATTATGGTTCACCTATGCTAACACAAAACAGTATCCTAACATCTACTAGCCTCTCCACCCTTCAAAACCAAAATGAGATAATATTGTCATCACTGCTCTGATCTCACCCTGAAGGTGAAAACACTGTCAGGGTTCTAGGGCAGTCCTTGTCTGACTGATGGTACTCTAATTCAAGGTAAGGACTTATTAGTTATCCTGCTTGTTAGCAGCTCCCTTGTGCAGCAACAAAGCAAGTGTATTAAGATGAGGATGCAGCAATAAGCCTTAAAACTCATCTGCTTTGAGTCTGACTCTTCCACTGACACCATAAAGTTTTTATAGGAATTAATGAAAGTTATACTGCTTTTCATCCAGTAAGTGGCACAGCCTTTAAGAGAGGATCATTTCCAAGGCAGTTCAATTTATTGTACATATAAACCAGCAAGAAATAGATAAGTGAAACTGATTGGCAGTCATTAGTTTTAAGGCATATGCATGCTGCAGCTAGGATTACTGCATTATTTGTAATAATAGCTGTAAAACCGCTTGCTTTTAAGTGATGCTACTTTTATGCTTTTCATTACTAAAACTGTGTATTTCCAAATTTCCTGAAACAAACCTTTATGTGGTGCTCCAAGCGTAAACAAGCCATTGTCGAGGGCTTGGATGTAAGCTCCTTTATCCATTTCTATAGCTATAGTTCCTGTAATTTCACCAAAGTTACTGACAGCCCACCAGTTTCCTAAAATACAAAACCATGACAGTTAATAGATTAATTACAACTTGTGATTAGAGTAGTTCAAGAGATGATACTTCTGTGTCTTTTCTGAGATTTGAAAATCTGAAGATACAATTGCTGTCTCAAGTTCTTTGTGCATTATTTTATACTACAGGGCCAATTTAATGGTGTTGCTCCTGCAATGAAGTTCTGCTGTTCTACCCACCCTGTCATCACTAGTCTCAGCCTCCTGTGCTTCATCCCTTCTTTGTGTTGGTCCATAGAGCAAGTTGATCCATTCAGCTGATCCACATTGCAAGGAAGGTTTTGGTTGTTTGTCTTTTTTTCCCATCTAGACCAGCCTCCTGCAATTTTGGGGTCATACCCAATTATTAGATTCTCCAACACAACAGAAACTTGTAAACTCTCTCATCTTGCTGTTAAATTACTTCATGTGAGCTGTAATCCTTTAACTTCAGTTGTTCAAGCCCCACATAAGTCTACCAAAGTTAAGGGCAGCCCTGCACACACAGCCCTGCATGAATTAGAATTATGACATCTGTATTTTTTAAACAGTAGAATTTTCTCCTGGCATATGGTCTTACAAATATTTTCTACCCGATTACAATAATAAGTATTTCTAATTAACCTGAATATGATCTACTTTTTCCGCATAGTAAATCTGGCAAGTCAATCTGCCTTGAGTAGAAACTATCTTCCCCTGTATTTATACAGGGTATAGAGCTAATTGTCTTGTCCTACACAGTCAGTGCTGACAGATCAATGTAGGAATTTTCCAAATCTCTCCCATTTTTTGAAGTCTGACTAAATTAATGACTGTAGAACATCTGCAGAACAGAAAGCACAGGTGGACCAACCACTTATTTTCAAAGTAATGGTAACAGAAAACGTAAACTATTTACATAGAAATGCACTCATTGAAAATATTACAGCAGTAAATAAGTCTCTCCTTCTAAAGCAAATAGCATGGTAGGGAAAAAAAGGGGGAAAAAAAAAAGAGAGAGATCGAAGCTGATAAGTAGCTTAAGATTATAGAAGAACATATTTTTGCTAAAAAGGTTAAGCGGAAATCTATCCTACTGCTCTCAGAAGTTCCATTTTGAGTCTCAGAAGATCCTGACACACAAATAACACCTTGTAAGAGGAAGTTATAAATCTTTATGGGGCCTGCACTTAGCTTACAAAGTCCTGCAACAACCTCTTTAGATTCTGATATCCCCTACAGTTTCCACACTGTCACATAATTCCTGGAAAGCAGCTCACCAACAATATCAAGTTGCTCTGCCGCATCCTCTTCCCTTTTCCTTTTCTTCTCCTTGTGCTTCTTTTTGCTGCAAAGAGAAATACAAATAAATAAGAGGCTGCCTCCACCACAGCCCCTTCACAGCGAGCTCCTTCACGCAGCCCCGCTCCCAAGCCCTCCAGGAGCGGATCCCAGCCGGGAGCAAGGGGCTGACCCCCGGGACCCCCTGCCCTGCTCGGCCTGCCCGGGCACAGGCGCAGCCGGAGGGACGAGACGGCCCGGCCTCACCCCAGCCCAGCCACAAGGTCCCGGCTGAGGGGGCTGGCCCCAGGCCCCCCCGAGACG